TTACAATAATTGAAAATATTTGTCCGACCCGTACGTACTTTGTATCACTATTCTATCTATGTTTCAACTTACTTACTTTATCAAAAGTTAACATTAGAAAATGAATATAAAAGTTGGTCAATGTAATTCGAGATAACCATATGGTTCGATTACAAATAAAGTATAATGGTTAAAGCCTCATTATAAAGATACTACTCTTAATACCATATTTTAGAGATATAATAAGAGAAAAATTTCGGCAAATAAGTAAACATTTGCATAATAAAAAATGAAATCATTCAATGTGTAAATAAAGATGATAAAAAATGATTGTGTTTTATTATCTAAACTTATTTACAATTTAAACATTAGTTTAGCTAATCCATTGATATGTGATTCAAATTATTTCCAACTTTAATTATTGTTGCTTTTCATGTTGAAAATATGGGAATGGATAAGGTTGAAAATAATTGAAATTAAATATCGATGAATCAGATAGACAGATGCTTAATTGTTGAAAATATTTAATCGACCTAATTTCTAATAATTATTCCTTACTTCATTCTTCTGTAAGAAGAATGTGTTTCATTTTTAATTCTACCAAATATTTTATAAGTATACTAATCGACGTTTATAATAAATTAAACAGTCAAATTTTGTTTTAACACTTAAGTACTTCACATTCCAACAAATTATCGAAGAATTTTCCGCACGACGAATCATATGGTAAAAGTAAAACCATTAACTAATATCATTTTAACGAATCAGTGAATTTATACGTATAATAAAATAAATTTAGTAAAATTGCTAAATGATTTAATATATAAGTAAGAAAACAAGTCAGTGCAAATAAAATGAATTTCTTGAAAAATTTTTTTCAAATAGATAAATGATGCCATAATTCAACCAGCGCTAACATAATATATAATTAAGGAAATAGAGCATGCAAATATTTCTTATCTTACTGTAATTAAGTAAGTAAGTAAGTAAATAGGAAGTTGAAATAATACATAAATAATAAGCAAAATGAAATTAAATAATGTGGGAAGGAAAAAAACTGATTTTATATTCGAAAAGTTGTAAACATTATTATCCTAAGTACAAAAGATGCACAAGTAAAAAGCCTGAATGACCTATGATACTATAACCTTTTTCAGGAAAGATATATAGCTATTACAAGTATGACATTATTATATGATATTGTGAATATTCCTTGATTGGATCATATTCAGAAAGTAGTTATTAGTACAATGTTAAACTGCATTATAATCAATAGATTATATTCACAACTTTGATTGATTAAGAAGTTTTACAACTTTCACTTTTAGTGGTACTAACTAGACTTATTAGTAGAAATAAATGTGAATAGCACAAATAGTGAGCGTATAAAAGATGGTATCATTTCTTCATCAATCATATCGTTGCTTCCTGTTTGATGATAAGTAGTGTAACAGTCTACGTAAGGCCTTACATTTTATTTTTTTGTACTTATTTTTTGATCTATATAATATTTAGTACCTATTTATTTAGTACTTTAGAAAATTCAATAATTATTTACCTATACAAAGTGTAAATAAGTCGTCTATTTCACAACAAAATTGTCATAAAAGAAGAATTTATATCAATCAAATTAAGTTAAGGTTATTGTAAAACATAATTACGTATAAATTATATTATTGATTTAACCATAGGTAATTAATACAACGCATATTTTACATTATCGTTACATATATGATAGATAAATAAATTGTTTAAAGATATACCGCAAGATATTTTACAAAATGGAATAAAAATGAAGAAAAGGATAAATGTGAAACATGCGGAGAAACAGAACCGATCGCGGAATAATAATATATTCATTCATCTTTTCTATTTTACCCCCGCGCTATCCTCTCCCCCCGCCTTCTTCCTTCTTCCTCTTTAGCGTAGTTTAATTGAAAGGAAATAAGCAGATGTTGACTACTGTTTGATGAAGGATGATGATATAGATTTCAAGTATCTCCGTTTAACATTTTCATACTATCACCCATTATGTTATATAGCATTGAAGGCGTATATATATATATATGTGTGTGTGTGTGTGTGTGTGTGTGTGTGTGTGTGTGTGTGTGTGTGTGTGTGTGTGTATCACGGTATATAGCAAAAATTCTCTTTTTTTAAAAAAATTGCAGCGACAATGACAAATAAGGGTTGAAGGCATTCAACAAACATACAAAGAAAATTTATAATGAAATTTGTTAATTTTTTTAATTTAAAAAATTAATATTAATTACAATTTTTGATTTAAAAACTTCTAATAATTAACTAACAATAATTACAATTTTTAATTTAAAAACTAATAATAATTAGCTAATAATTTAAAAACTAATAATAATTACTAATAATTTGCTAATAATTACATTCACTGCAAAAAAATCAATAATTAAAAGTTATTATAATTACTCATAATTAAATTCATGCAAAAAAATCAATAATCAAAAGTTTATTTGCAAAAGTTAAATGATAAAAATTTTATCACGAAAAAGAATTTCCTTCTCTTACCTCAATATTTCGTTTTTGTTAAGTATTAGGTAAACTTCCTTGTTACGAAAAGAAATTGCTGCTGCTAACTGGACGATATTAAATTTAGCGAAGTTTTGCTTAACGAAGAATATTTGAGAGGAAATGAAATGATGTGAAGGTATTGTTTACTGAAAGTGATGTGTCTTATATATATAGGTAGATAGATATATGAGGGAGTGAGTACATTATGATAGGTAAATTAAAGCTGCTTACACGGACAATGTTAATAGAGCAAGCAAATATTTGAAAACTGAAATAAATTTGCTCCTTATACCCTTGTAATGTATTTCGAAAGATCTTTTGATCAAATTTAACGAAGTAATTGTTTAATTTAATTTCCAACTTAATAAGTAAGCTTAAATTGGTGACAATTTCTCTTCTCTTTCATTATGAATTCACTTTTATGTAAAATGAATTTAAATAATAAAAAAAACTGATACTAAGAATTTATTTTTAAGATAAATTTGAATTAAAAATTAAAATGCTAATTAGGATATTCTAATGAAAATCACAAAAGATCCATTGTTTTTTGTATTTTTCTGCTTTAACTAAAAACGACTCAACATGTAAATTTCAGAAATATCGCAGTAATATCGTAAAATGGTAATAATCATATTATAATAAAGGTATCCTATATTTGTTAATTAAAAAAGATGACAGGTATTATTTTCATTAGCAATAAGTATTTAAGTGACACATCACTAATGCTTTGTTACCTGTATACTTTTTGTAATGTTAATTGGTGCCTTAAAACTGTAATTACTGGCGCCTTTTTGTAAAGTCATTCATTTGTAACTCAAAAGTATTCAAAAATTTGACATAAATGAAGGAGAGAGAGAGAGAGAGAAAGAGAGAGAGAGAGAGGGGTGTGAGGAAAAAAGGGGACAAAAATAACAAAAATATCATCATAATTACATGGAAAAGAAAATTAAGAAAAAAACAAGTTTTTTACACATACAGACAGATTCATGCATACATATATTACATATAAATATAAACTAAAAAAAAGAAAACGGATGATCGATGTATCAATATGAATAAATTAGAGTTATACAATGCCACTATATGCTTCATATTGAACTGTGAATTCTTGTGTGTACAGAACTTTTGTAATGATAATCAGTGATAATGTGACAGATGTGTGGGAGAAAATATAGAAGATATCGTTGAAATAAAGATCTAAATATCAATGAATATTATCATCAAAGTTGCTATAAGCTATATATCTGTCGTAAAATGATGAATATTTCATGCATTTCATGATATCCTTATATAAGGATAGCATAACAGTTACGAACTTTGATATCTGTTTATCACATGAGGATTAGAAGTAGATTACGAAACTTGGATCAAGATTGCAAATAAATTATTTAAGTGATTCAGATGATGTCGAATGTAACAAATAAGGAAAAATATGATGCAAAATGGACCGGAATATGCTTAATCTCATTTAATTTATAATGTAGAATTTCGAATATTAAGATATCTGACATAAAACAAAAGTTCAAATCGCGATTTTCCGTCGATCGGTGACAATGAATGATTTACATCTATGAAATAAATAGCAGTAGGTTATTTGTTGGACATCCATATTTCCTTTTTAAAATTTATTGGCATATCATATATACCATGATAATCCTTTAGGCCATGCTGTCATCTATGTGTATGAGTTAGAAAATATCACTTATAATCTTTGCTGCTATTCAATTTCAAAATGCTTAACTAAACTATAATAATTCGATGAGTAAGTGGAAATATTACGGAGACATTTAGAGGAGGGGAGAGAGGAGAAAAGAAAGGAGGGAAAAATTATGAGAGACTCAGAAGATAGTTTTGTAATAATGATAACAACGACTATGACGAAAGATAATGATAGGAATGATAGTAGTTGGCATTACGACTTTACGATTACAGTAACAATTCAGATGATGATGAGTATGACAATGACGATGGCAATGATGGCAATAATAACAATGATATTGATAATAATAAATAATTATAATGACCATGTAAATATAATAATAATAGCGAAATAATAAGTTATTAATAATGACAATAACAATGTCATATTCATAATAAAAATAATGAAGCAATAATCAATTATTAATAACAGTGGCGTTTAAGGAGATAATGATAATTAGTGATAATAATAATTATCAATGATTACTATTAATGACATCAATTAGTAATAATAATAACAATTGTAATTATAATTGTATTAATAATAATGTAATTTTGGTGATTAATATTAATACTAATATTAATAAAAATAATAACAAAAACAATAAATAATTGACAATTATTAGTAATAATAAATAAATTAATAATGATAATTATTATGATAGTAATGATGGTAATAATAAATTATAACAGTGAAAACATTACTAATTATGATGATAGTAAGAAAAGCGGTAATAATAATAATAATGATAGTTATGATAATGATCATAACTGTGACAATGATTGGACAAATGGATGGGTATTCGAGACGCTATATGAATGAAACGGGACGAGTCAGTCCTGACACTACCACTGGCCGGCAGAGATGGGACAGGCGGAGTTTATGCTTTCATATTCGGTGCCACACCCATCCCACAACCAATACAACACTAAATTTTGACAAATAATTAGCGATTGACATTGCTCCTCTAAGCACACCCACACACATACCCATATCCACCCACACACATACACCACATACACATACATACATGTGGAGCCAGTTGCCATTATTGTGTGCAAAAATTGCGCCACACTGTGATGTGACTTAGGTTTTACAGCTTCTGAAGTAATAAAACTGTCATCAACTGTCATTAAAAATATTGCCGGTATGAAGAAAGAGGCAACTCTTCTAAATGCACGTCCAATGTGTGATAATACCACCCACGCATATATCGACATATGATGTAAACGTGGTAGATGTACGTGATATTCAATGCAAAAGAGTTGCAGTTATTTTGATGCAAGAGACATATATCACGGCGATCATCCACATGGATCACTTAAAGGCATAGTAGTCATTATACTTATGGCTTATCACATTCACAGATAAACATTCTTTTCTCTTCCTTTTCTTAGCTTTTCTTTTCCTCATTCTGTTCTATCTCACCAATATTACTTGAACTTATCAGTACGGTCAAACTATGGAATTCAATTTCAGGAAGGCATTTCTACAACAGATATATTGTTATTGCTACTTTCCGGTATTTATAAATTGTCTGATTTATTATATCCCTCTTCACTTCTATTTTTTCCGTATTTTTCTCCCTTTTCCTCACTTACTATACTATTTATCACATTGTTCCATTTGTGAATTTCATATAATTTTGTCCATTTCTTTTCGCTTAAATTTTAATTTACTGCAAAAAGAAAGAACGAAAGATTCATTGCCATATCTTCCAATTACAGGCCAAAACTTTTCCAATGTATTTTTTTCATAGCAATTTTTCTCCTCCCGAATACACTCCCAAACTGTGCACTCTCGATCATTAGGTTAATCTGACCGCAGCTAGAATAGCGATCAGCTAACAGTACGATAGGCACAGAAATCATAGTTAACAATGATGAAACTTTCATTAAATGTAAATAATTGGATAAATAAAAGTATCAGCTAAAATTAGGTTGTCACAAATTAAAATTAGGTTATCACAGAGAATTTACTACTGGACAAATATATTTTGATGGACGTAAATAATGCTTATTACATTTTGATCGGTAAAATATACCGGTATAACATAGTATAACAAAAACAAATATTAAGTAAATGAGTAATTGCGTAAGCTAGATGGTAATCCATATGAATAATAATAACTCTTGCTTACCTTAAAAAATTTAAATCTGAAATTTTTCATTCTTAAATTTTGAAATGATACATTTATCGCTACGTATGCGTAATTGTTCTTCTCCAAACCTCTCTTAGATTATCATGTATGCCTGAATTACCACTGTATGCTTGGATTATCACTTGAACTGTCACTGTTTGAATTATCACTGTACGTTTGATAATATTATCAGGAAAGATTGCCAATTTGGATGGTAGCATATTCAAAAATATTTCTAAGTTTAAAATAATTCTTTCTTTGAAGCATAAATAGATTTTTCAAGAAATGAGTTAAGATGGGATTATTCAATTCCTTTGACAACAGCCGAAAACTAGCAGAAATTAACAATGAATCAACATCTTTTATATCAGAATAGCCTATTTATCACTTTGAAAGAAACTGATAAGTTGCTCGCTTCCAAAAAATTAGTTTTATGGTGACGAATAACCTTATCAGCAGAAAATATAATGGTGAAATCTATTATTACATAATCAATTTTCTGGAAGTAATCAACTTACCCGTTTATTTATGGTTATAAGTAATTCGAATTTTGTTTGTTTATGGATAATTCAAATTCAACGAACCTTAATGTTCAGTGCTTTTTATAATATCAAACTTCTAGAGCATCTCTTCATATTCCGTCACTATTCTACCGTATCTTCATGAGGATAAGGCTAAATGAGGATAAGACTGAATGATATTAGGAATGAAATTATACTGTTTATTACATATATTAATAATATCTGCCTGCATGTATTAATTAATTAATGCTGTATGTTAATAATGTACGAATGAATGTTAGGTATTTATGTCATCTTATGCGTAGTAAATTTTTAAAAACCAATTGGTTCAAAATGGTAAAAATCAAAAAACTATTCGCTTCATTCATCCGCATTTTGAAATGAATGATTAAAATGGGAAAGGATAAGGTGAAGTTAGGAGAGGAAGAGAAAGAATGAATTTTGTCTTTTGCTGTTTGTTAGAAGAAAATGTGTATTATAATTTATTCGCTATCTTTGCTGAAAGAATAATTTAGGTCAATTTAATTTTGTTGCATTTTTACCGTTTTTTTTTTGTTTAACATTTTAAAAAAAATAAAATTGCTGACAGTCGAAAATCCATAAAACATCTAAATTAAAATTATATTTAATAAAAGAAAGCTTTTGCCATTTCCTATCAAATGTTGTAATTAATTGATCAGACATTGATAGATAACACATTTCAACCATTCCTTTAGTATGAAAAAAGAGGAAAGAAAATGAGGTGGGAAATTTGATGAAAAATATTTCTAACAAAATTTTAAGTATAAAAATAAGATATTATTGATTGGCAGTTATTTGATAAATGAATCAGTGTTAGCAATTTTATATTTTATTAAACAAAAATTTAATTCAATGTATCCATCCATATCAATGATATTAGGATATTCCGGTTATCATTTTCCATTATGGATAAGAAACCGGAGTTTTTTTGATTTTCTATCATCAACCGGGCTATTGCCAAAAATTCCTCATATTTATATATAATTGCATTTTAATATAAGTTCTCTTTGATATAATTTTTTATTTAATATATTTTTGATTTTAAAATGTTTCAAATATTTCATCACTTTGTGGTGATAGACAGACAGACAGACAGAGAGACAGACAGGGAGTATTATTAAGCATTTAATCGTTGAATGTTTCCAACGAAAAAGAAAAGATTAATGAGAATAAATTTTCTTATTGTATGCAAAAAATTTATAAATTTCAGAAATATTAGGTGCAGAAGGTAAAAAGAAGGAAAAAACAATTAAAGAAATGAAAATGAAAATTGACAAAATTACCGATACGGACAGACAGAGGTCAGGGATACGGACAGGGAGAGGTCAGGAAGAAGAGGAAAGGAGTAGGAAGAGGAGGAAGATGAAGAGAAGGATTTGGAAAAATGAGCCGATACGAAAGAATAATTCACATTTATTTCATAATTTCCTATTTATTTATTTAAGTGATGGAATTATAACGGTGAATAGACAGACCCGTCTTAATTTTGTATTTAGGGGTTTTGTTAATATATTGAATTATATGAAATTATATTTTAAAATTGAAAGAAGAAATTATGGAAGAGGAGAAATGGGTAAGGCTGGTTAAGATAATTAATTAGTTGAAGAAAATGAGGCGATACAAAGCAAAAGAGGAGGGGACAAAAGTTTTTAGCGAAAAATTTTTAAATAAAATTTTCTGCATTACTTTTTTCTAGTTTTTATGTCAACAACTATAAAAGAGATGTGAAATATTATTTAATAACAAACAAATAAAATCGATTAATTATTTTGTAATTGACATTTTTGCTAGCTAAATTAATAGTATTATAGTTTGGTTATACTAGTGTAATTTAAAGGTAATCAAGTACTTTACTCGCGGTACTTGAATTAATTACAATTTTAATTCCTCAATGATATCATATAAATTATATTCTATGAATACTGTTGACATTATTTATAAATTATCAACAATAATCAAAAATTAATAATAATAGTGATTAATAATAATAAGTAATAAATAAGAACAACAATAAGAGTAATTATAATAATTAATAATAACAATAAATAACTAATAATAATAATAATTAATAATAACAATAATAATTAGTAATAATAATAATAATAATTTTATAATAACAATAGTAATTAGTAATAATAATAATTCTATAATAATAATAATTAATAATAATTAATAATAGTTAATAATAATAATAGTTAATGATAATGATAATGATAATGATAATGATAATGATAATAATAATAATAATAATAATAAAAATAATAATA